GATAAAAACCCATTGAGATCAAGACCTCTTTCTCAAAGGTGACCTGACCAAGATATACGTCACAAGAAAAAATATAAAAAGACAAAAAAATTACAAAATAAACATTAAAACAGCCAACAATTTGAAAATGAAAGACAGTGTTATGACAATCAAAATACAATGAACAAATTAGGATTTAAAACACCGGCATTGTTGACATGTGATTCTTTTAAATTTTTTCTAAAAGCATCCAGTGGAGCTTTAGCCAGAAGCTAAGTAACAAAAGACTAACTCAAAGTTAAACGTAGGAAAGATCTATAGCTAAAAGGTAAATGTAGCTAAATGCTAGCCAAAGAGTAGCAATATGCAAGGTAAAAGAATCACAATATTAATTAAAACTTAAAAAGGAAACTGTAGAAGAGATAACTGTGAATAAATACTTTGAAATACATAAAAGGGAGGAAAAACAAACATTAGTGCCCCCATCTCCTGAATGAGCTGAATATTTTATATGGTTACAGGTAAAATAGCACCATGCCTGCAGGAGTAGTTAGAGTAAAAAAAAAAGTACAAGAAAGCAAATCTTGAAAACAACGCAGTTTCTGAACCAAAAGTAACAGAAGAAACTGCTTCACTAGATCATTTCTAATCACAACATTATGAAATCCACAGCTGTTCATCTGCAGACTCACAAAGACACAGAGTTTATGATCTCATCAGCTGCCTGCAGGATGCTTTGTCTAAAGTTTTGGTTTGTGACAAAAATTTAGCCAGAAAAAAAAAATGTATTGAAGCCTTTTATTTTAGTGACCCTGCTAGCACACCAACAATACTAAAAAACTTTAGTGTTCACATAAATCTTCTCTATGATCCAAATAAAATAGATGAATAACTTAAAATCTAAATGACATTCTGCCGCTCCTAAAGGTGGGCAATCATGTAACTGCCTGTGTGTGTTTTCTTTGTTTGCCTGTCTGTCTGTCAGCAATGAGTATATGAATGTGAAAGGATTTTATTCACCTTGTATCATATTCCTGGAAATAAAGGAACCATTAGAGCTGCAGCGGTATTTTTAATACTTTTAATGTGGACATTGGTTGTATAATTCTTCCTCCTCTTGCTGTGTGCAGTTTGAGCAGCTGGAGGAACTTCACCAGACTCCAGCAGTAGAGATGGTTGTTTGTCTGTTTTTCTGTGTGTTTGGAGATTTATTACCTCAGAAGGCCTTGGCGTTTCTCTGTTCAGGCTAAACTCATTATGTCAAGGTCCTTGTGAAAGTTTAAACAGGACTTCTTCTTCTTCTGGCTGTTTCCTCTTCAGAGGTCTCCACAAGGGCTGGCTGTATTAGGGTCTGCAGCCTACCTAGACCATAGCCCACGTAGGCCACAGCTAGGTATGGGCTGCATAAAACAACCGTGAAATGAGACGGTCTAGCCTTCAGATGATGTATGTTTGCATGACCACACCCTGCCCATTACCTGTTTGGGTTTAGCTCCACTCAGCATTTGAAATTGCATTTTATTTAACATCTTATTTCGCAGGATCAAATTCCCTCAGCTACATGAATCAGCTGTGTTGCTTTATTAAACTAGTTCTTTTGTCCATGATGAATTTCCAAACTACACCGACTTGGTAAAAAAAATTAATAAATAAAAAAATCAGCCTTCTTTGTTTTTCTTTTTTGTTTGCTGACGTCGCAATGAATCCTGTGATACTTCATCCTAAGCTGAACAGTAAACACGCGGTCAAGCGGTTGTTCGTTCTTTTTGTTTTGCACACACATTTCATAGCCCCTGAGACACACTGCGCCAATCTCCTGGGAAACCCCTCCCTCAGTGGTATATGCCACTGCACAGGGTTTCTACCCACTACACTCCAGAAAGAAAGAAAAGACTGTCTGGGTTATAGCCCAGAGGGTTAAAACTCCATACTTTTTTTGCAGACAAAACTCCTCCATGCACAACTTCTGTTTTATCTGACCATCTTTACAAATGTCTGCTTCCGGGTGCAACAGCCAGCTTCTGGAAGTGAATAGATTTTGTTTTATGGTTGAAGCAAAATGCAGTGTTCGAGCACTTTCAGCATAAACAAACACGGCCACGAACTTCTGACCACTCATACAATAAGTTCTTATGTTGTAAAAATTGTGTTATTTAACATCTCTCAGAGACTGATCTTTCAGAGCAAACCATCAGTTGGTTTTTAAATGATCCGTCTGGATGTCAACAGTGTGTACAACACAGTGATCTATCATTAAAGTATTTGAATATTACAAACGATGTTCCACAAGGTTCCATTCTGGGCTCTTTACTGTTTTCAATTTACGTTAAGAACTTTGGTCTAAATGTCAGTGAGACCAGGGTGCATTTATATGGTGATGACATGATAATCTATTTATTTATCTATTATTTTAATATTCTTGTCAGAAATCTAACAAGCTCTATGGTCCATTTTCATGTATTGCCTCTAAGCTAATTTGTTAATTTATATTATTATTATTATTATTATTATGGTGATGATGATGATGTTATAAATATTTTACTAACTTAGATTGTCATTGCTTCGGTTTAGTGCCATGGTTGTTAGGCGACAAGGCATACCAGTATGTCAGGATAAGAGTGGGGAAAAAGTTGAAGGCTAGATGGTCCAAATTGCCAGACACTTTCTTCAGTCTTTGCAGTCGTAAAAGGATCCGGCCCACGTAGACGGGGTAGACTGGGTCCTTTGAAGGACGCAGCCCCTGAATTTGAACACAGGCAAGGAGTCATCTTTCTCCATCTCACTCACTCCATCTACCTCCATGTCCTCTTAACTGCATCCATAAATCTCCTCTTTGTGTTTTTCCTGGCAGCTGCGTTCTCTAACATCCTTCTAACCACTGCCTCTCCTCCAGACATGTCCAAATCATCTCAGTCTGGTCCCTAACTTTACCTCCCAGTGGTTCAACCTGATCCGTACCTCTGATGATCTCATTGTAACCTTTCCCAGTTCTTCATCTTCAACAACTTCCAGTTCAATCTCCAAAGGTTCCAACAGGACCTGATGCAGAAATCCAATTACCATCCCAAAAAACTTGATGTGCTTTACAGAGCCATAATTGCTGAGAATAGTTTGTACATCAAAGATAGGGGGGATGTGTTCATGCAGCGTGTCTGCTGCAGCTCATTGGACAGATGGTTTTATCAATCTGAAGTATGACAGAGATGTGAGCAGCAGCAGCCATGTGGAGGGGAAATGGAGCATGGTGAGCCGTTGCAGAACAGAAATGGAAGAAACTGCTCAACCGTTACAATCTGCTTTTTTTTCATTAATGGATAATAGATGTGAAAATACCTGCTCCTGCTGCCTGACACAGAGAGAGACGAGACAAACGTGTCATCTTTAACTCGTTTGAATAAAATTCATCTAAAAAGCACAAAGTGAACATTTTGGTATTTAATATTTTGTATGTTGTTAACTAGACAACATTACAAAAGTGTGCAGACCCAGACTTGTTCTGCCGGTCTGTATTTCAGCTGCCTTTTCCTGAACGAAGATGACAGAGTTCAGCAACACAGCAGCACACTGGTGATCTAAAGACGCAGTGACTTTTACGTGATCCTCAGACTGTGACCTATAGTGTGGGCTGATGGGCTGCACGGTCACCTGACAGCAGTCTGACCTAGATTCATTGTGCACGGGTTCCCCTTCACCTAGCCCACCCTGCTGACATTTAGTGTTGTTTACGCATGTACATCTGACGACAACTGTTTACTCGTCTGGCACATTTATTATTAACTTTTGAGTGATGCTGCAAAATCTGATTAATAAATCCCTTTCCAACAGAAAACTCAAAGCATTCTCTGGGAAAATAATTTAAATATTTTGAATGAAATCTGTTTTCTTGTTTTTATGTAAATCAGAATAGGATTTTGATGACAAAGCTTGTCCATGCAGTCATGACTCAGATTGCTTATTGGCAGTTTACCAATAATACAAGGATGAAGCAATTTGTGACTTTTTACATTTTCATATCATATTCTTTTTCTTTTATACATCAGTGTTTATCTGCAAAGAGATAAACATACTTAATTTTGGCTACATTTAATTTCACTTAAATTAAAGCAGAAAAAGTGTCCTTATAAAGGTCAAAGCATGGATGGTATATCAATAAACTATAAAGTGACTAAAAAGCTGCGTACATGAGAACTGTTGAGCTAAAAAAATGCATGAGAGAAATCATTTCACTGTGTTTTTTATTATTAATTTTTAAATCAAAGGTCAACTCTACATCTGTTAAAATAACAGGTATTATTTTTTTCTTTTTGTTCAATGGCCTTATGTATTACAGTAAATGTATTAAGATGTTTTTGTTTGTTTAATCTGCTGCCCCCTAAAGGTACAAAGCACAAAGTACAATTTTAAAAAGAGCAGGATATGAAATGACTGTGGATAGCAATAAACCTCAGCATTTGCATAACCAAACCTGACTATTACCCACAAGTTCACAGAAAAAGAAATATGATAGAATATGAAAATGAAATATAGAAATATGAAATATATATATTTAAATTTCCATAATGTATTCTTTATTTTGTTACTACGTGTTCATTTCTTGTTATGTTTTGGATATATAGCTATTTATAGAAGAATTTCAATTACTTTCAATTCTACATCAAACTACGATTAACCACCAAAAACTACACTTCCCATGATGCTCTTCTTGTAGGCGTATTTATTGTTGTGATTCTGCATCATTTATATGCCGGTATTTTTAGTGGTGCACAAGACGTCTGCGGTGAATCAAACTGGATAGTTGAGAAAAAGAGTGACAGCATTGTTGGAGGTGCAGACATCGCACAACAGCACATTAATAGTGATAGAATTATTCTGAATAACCAAGTTTAAAACAGAGTTATTTTCTTTCCGCAGTCAAACTCGCCGTGCTTCATTACTTTCAGCCGTCTGATGCGCCGGGAAAACAAAAAGAAGCTTAACCGGTAGTTGTAGGACGAGGCCAGGTTAAAAACTTCTACAAAGTCGTTTTGCTGTTTTTGCTCCATTACAAAAAATATTTCGTGTGTGATTCAAGTTTGGCTCAACTGTTACGTTTTAATTTAGGACAGGAAAAAAAATGTTTGTCAATATTTATCAAATGTTTATCAAACGTATTGCGTAGTTCCGGTGACGTTGACGTCTTTTTCCTCATTGGTCCTGTTGCTTCAGAGTTTTCCCGCGCTCACCAAACTGAACCGTCAGCCTGTGTGTGGAGTAAACAAGCTAGCGCCTGAATATTTAGCACAAGTGTTTAATAATGCCGTCCTCAGACTACGACCCCGCTTCTCTGCCGGACTTATTACCGCTGTACTATCGACGGCTCTTCCCCTTCTCTCAGTATTACCGCTGGTTGAACTACGGAGGAGGTAAACACAAACCAGGCCGCTGGTGTTAGGAGGGAGCTACTGCTCTCTGATGTAACTAGCTGCTAGTCTGTCTTAACTATATGTTTGGCTGTTTTAACTTTTTGTCTGTCTTAACTAGCTGTTCATCTACTCTAACAAGCTTTTTGTCTCTTAACTAGCTGTTTGTGTGTTCTAACTAGCTTAACTAGCTGTTATTCTGTCTCAACTCCTTTCTTAAAAGCTGAAATGTTTGAAAAGAACTGATCTAGACTGAGGTCTAATTAATACAATTACATTCCTCAAAACTAAAGATGATCTGTCAGGAACAAAACTGAAGATGATCTGTCAGGAACAAAACTGAAGATGATCTGTCAGGAACAAAACTGAAGATGATCTGTCAGGAACAAAACTAAAGAGCTCAGATTAATGTTGTTTCCACATCCTCAGTGCAGAAGAACTACTTCCAGAACCGAGAGTTCTCCTTCACGCTGAAAGACGACATCTATGTTCGCTACCAGTCGTTCAGCGCGCAGGGCGAGCTGGAGAAGGAGATGCAGAAGATGAACCCGTACAAGATTGATATCGGAGCAGTGTACAGTCACAGGGTCGGTTTTTAATCTGAAACAAATCGCACCACAGGGTGTAAGTGTTTCTGTGAAGAAGTTTTCTCTTCTTGTTTGTCACCCGCAGCCCAACCAACACAACACCGTGAAGTCTGGCAGCTTCCAGGCTCTGGAGAAGGAGCTGGTGTTTGACATCGACATGACGGATTACGACGACGTCCGCAGCTGCTGCAGGTGAAACGAGTTGTGTCGTCATTTTAGCTGATGCAACTGGCTTGGTTCCACGTCTGCTGAGTTACTGAGATAACATTTTAAATCTGTGATTTAGCGAAGCGGACATTTGTGCCAAGTGCTGGACGCTGATGACCATCGCTATTCGTATCCTGGACAGAGCGCTCCGAGGTTCGGCGCTGGTTTTTAACGCCAGGCGTTGGTCTGTGTTGACCAGAGCCAGTTGGCTTCATGTTGATCTGTTGTGTTTTTGTTATTTCCAGAGGACTTTGGCTTCCAGCACCTGCTGTGGGTTTTCTCTGGCAGAAGAGGAGTTCATTGTTGGGTGTGTGACGAAGCTGCCCGGAAGCTGTCTGCAACAGCCCGGTCTGCTGTGGCAGAATACCTCAGCCTGGTCAAGGTAACAGGTTTTAACTCGTAAAGTCCACAACAAAGCTTTGATCCACAGGAAGTTATTTATATCGGCATGTAAAGATGAAAATTGTGTATTTCTGGTAGAAAAAAGTTTAGTTGAAAAAAATAAATATGTTTTTTTAACAAAACCTTCTGATTTCTGTTCTTTTTTTAGGGTGGTGAAGAGACCGTAAAGAAAGTAGTGCTGTCGGATCCAATTCATCCTTTTATTAAGTAATTATGTGGTTTGATATTTGTCGCTGATTTGATTGTTTTGTCGTTGCTGCTTCTGATTTTTTTTGTGATGTTTTCTAACAGAGAGTCTTTGGATGTAGTGGAGCTTTATTTTCCACAGTACGCTCTGCAGAAACAGGAGATATTGAGCCGGAAGGAGTCCATAGACAAAGTCCTGGCTCTCGTTCCTGAAGATATCCTTCTTTCAAAAAATGCTTTGGCTTTAATTTAATATACACTGCTCAAAAAAATAAAGGGAGCACTTAAACACAACGCACGCTAACTCCCAATCTTAATCAATGAAATATTCGCGTTGAGTACTTTGTTCTGTACAGAGTTGAATGTGCTTCACAAACGTTTGATTTACTTGGACTTAGCGTGCGTTGTTTAAGTGTTCCCTTTATTTTTTTGAGCAGTGTATTTACTGGTAGGTAAAAAAAATCCATGGCTTAAATCCATTTCTGGTGTTTATTTGTTTCTTTGTGGAAGGGAGAACTTCTCAAAAAGAGCGGTGAGTTCTGGTTGTTGTACGAAACAAACCGGGAATTTTCTGTTTACATTTGGAAAATTACTTGAAACCTTAACTCGTTCAACACACGTTAAAAAAGATTTACAGCAGGAGTTCCAAAACGAGAGGAAACCAGAAACCCGCTGGAAGTTAATTCAGGCACACGCCAAAAGGAAACAGGTTGGTGATTCTGCTTCTTTTACACAATTTTAGTTTTATTTTTTTAAGTAAAACAAAAAAAGGTCAATCTTTATTTGCCTTATTTGTTTGAACCTTCGTCAGCAGACCAAGTTGTCTTTGCAGTAATTAATTTAAATAGATGCATAGATGAGCCCAGCTTTTACAATATCTGGTGTTTTATTGTGAAAAAACCTTCAGGAAGTTGGAGAAAATTTGACCTTCTGGCTTTGCTACTCCAGAAATTGTCACATGTTGTGATCCATGAGACCATGTTGATTCTGGAGACATTTGGACTTTGTTTTATCCAGAGAAGTAACCTGAACATGTAAGAAACAGAAAAAAAATGTTTTAACTCTGAGCAGAAACGCTGCACAATCTTCTTGGTTGAAGTTTATTTCTGATGAACATAAAACTTTTATTTCTTTTTAAAAGAAAAAACAGCTTTTCTGGGTTTAAGATGAAGCAGTTGTTGCTGTTATTAGGTGTGAGGATATTAGTGATTCACAGTGTGATGGTTTGAATATGCTGCCATCAAGATAATATCTGTAGGTTTTATTTTTACTTTTTAAAGCTGCAACACTTTAAAAAGTAAAAATAAAACAGCTTGAAGACATCAGTCGACGAATGGAGTAGTTTTTATCCAAACATTTATTTTCTTTTAGCTCCACACAGAATATAAACTGGCTCCACACACTCACGGTGCTTCTGCTGCGGTCAGAGTCCG